GTGGGTTGGAAGGAATTACTGAAAAGAAAACAGACCTGATTTACTAGCTTTTGGATTTCTTTCTGCCAGCTGTGCACGGACACCACTGTCACTGTCAAGTCTGCTTTTCTGTAGAGAAGAGGAAGAGGAGGGACAAGAAGAAAGACTGTAAGAATGCAAACATGCTTTATTCAGAAAAATGTGAAATTAATCTGGAGCAGAGTCTATTGGAGAAGGAATACACTCTACATCACACTCTACAGAGGAACTACATACTCAGCTGTTTTCGAATTGTGACTTTTATAAAAATCCAGCCATGTAAGATGTTTTCTTATTCTCTACTCATTCAAATTTGATTTATTTAAAGCATCATTCTTTTATTGGAGGGAGCGTCAAGCTAAAAAACGTTATATGTTTGAGATTTTAAGCTGCTGTGAAATTATCAGAAAAGATTTAATGCTCAATTCCAAGTGTCTTCCTCTACGATGGCAAATGATACCTTGATATTTTAGGTCGGCCAAGTCCTTTTAATTAAAGGGAAAAAAGTCTTGTTATTTATTCATTCCCAATTCAGCATTTCTTTGTACAACTATTATTTATAAACATTATTTGTGACCATGTGTTCTGCTCCATTTGGGAAAGCTGCATGGCTGTCATCTGTTTATCATCCCTCCAGAGTGCATTGTTTTGATGAAATAGGACATTCTGCGTTTATGATGTCAAAGGGGCTTCAGCGAGGACTTAAAATTAGACTTGCCAGCTGTGTGCTCCAGGCAGTGGGAACTTATGGACTCGTCTCACTGTCCCTCAAGTCTAACAGTCCTTACCTAAAGCCAGACAAGGACTTTCAGCGTCTGAGTCTCTTGTTTAAATGTTTGAAAGCAGCCCTTGTGGTCGTTCAGATCAGTCAACGATTCTAAATGGAATCCATAGGTAAGCCACATAAAGAAGAAACACTTGGGATGGAGAACATGCTGAGAAGTCACTTCTGGAGGGAATACCAGGATGTAGATTAGTGAGATGCTGTACAACACCATCACCCTACGTAACCACTGTGTGCCAGACACCAAGACGGCCAGGCGTTTCATAAGTGTTAACTCATTTGATCTACATCTCACAACCAGATATATATCCCATTCTGCAGATGAGGAAAACTGGCTTCATATAAATAAATGACAGCCCATGGGCATGTAGCTACTGAGAAGTTGAGTCAGAATTAGAATCCAAGTGTAAAATTGAAGGTTGCCTGTTCAGAGGTTTTGTGCAAATTAGGAAAAAAGTGCCCAAGGGCACATGGCTTCATAAATAGATTGTGCCTACACACTAATTAGTACAAAGTGCCCTTCCTGCTAGCAGATGCTGGCAGAGTCTGGGGTACATGGCTTGGTGAGTAGTACCTTGACTACAGTTCAGTGCCCACTCACTTCCTCAGCACAGTGCCTTTGTGAAGAATGCGGCCTGAACAATTTGGCAGCCTTCATGGCAGGCCAGATATGTCCAACACCAGTGTGATGCTTAATTTTATGTGTCAACTTGGCTGGGCCATGGTGTCCACATATTTGGTGAAACATTATTCTGGATGTTTTTTGCGAAAGTGTTTTTGGATGAGATTAACATCTGAATCAGTGGACTTTGAGCAAGGCAGATAACCCACCATAAAGTGGGTAGGCCTCATCTAATCAGTTGAATATATATACACACACACATTTATTAATGTTGTTTCTCTGAAGAACTTTGACTAATATAACCAGAACCTAGGTGCTTCTCATAACTCCAAAGAAGTTTTTAATAGCTATGTGAGAAGATGACTAGAATGCAAATAAGAAAATTCTTAGCTGGTTGAAACACTTTACTGAAGGAGTACCAATTAATAAAACTATGTAAATGTAGGAGGAAGTCTTTAAGACATGCTTCAGGGCTCCACACTTGGTTCTGTCCTATTCAACACTCCTGTCAGTGGCTTATGATGTAGGATCATGCAAATCCAATTTGAGGATAAAATGAAGCCGGGAGGGATAACTAACATGACAGATGATAGGATCAAGCTTTTGACAGGTTGGGTTACTGTGCTGAAACTAACAAGAAGTATAATGGTAAAACCCTACATTTTAGGTAAAAAAAAATCAATAGTTATAGCACAGCTATAGATTTAAATTTAGAAGGGAGAATTTTAAATGGTACAGTTGGATTCTGTGCTTTTTGAGTTCAAAATGAGTCAACAATGTGACATAGCTCCTTTAAAATGTTACTAATACTGAAATCATAAGATAAAAATATTAAAGCATTCTATGTATCAGTCCTGCAATCCACAGAGGTCTGAAAACATCAGAAATATCACAACCAAGTCTAAGAGTTTCCACACTTCAGAAGGGACATGGCCAAATAAAACACTAAAGAGGACAAATGGACATGTGTAGAAATTATTTTAACTAAAGAGGGGTGTGAAGAACTGAGGATTGATGTAACAGAAGAGAATATATCTGAAGGAAGACGTAAGAGGGATCTTCAAGTAGTAGAAGGAAGAAGAAACAGTCTTCTTATTGTGCACACCCAAACACCAGAACTAAGATGCAAATACAGAAATTTCAGGTCAATAAAATAAAAGGTTTTTTCAAAATAGACAGAGCTGATGAGAAATCTAGGGTATTCTGGGAAAAGGGAATCCCCTGACTTAAAGTATTCAAGTCAGGCTCTATAGTAACTTGAACGAGTGCCTTTCATAAAGGACAGAAGGTGTTGGTAAAATTTCCCTACTTCCTCCACCTCATAAAGCTAACAAAAGCGATGGGGAATTAATTCGGCATGACCTGTTCTTGGTAGGCCATAGCTGACTCTTAGGACTCACTTATTCTTTTCTAAGTGATTACAATTTGGTTAATAATTTTCCTTAGACTATCTAGAGAATGGTGTCAATTATACCAATTATTCATTTGGAATAAAATAATCATATCTTTAAGTATTCTTTCCCAATAATTACAACCACAAATGACTACCACTGCTAGTGTTACTATGATTTCTACTACTGCACCAATCACTGTGATGTTTTAAATACATAATCTCATTTAAACCTTGCAACAATTATATAAAACTCAGAGATGCTGGGACTCTACCCCAGGACCCTAGACTCAAAACAGCAAAGCTAAGATGGATGCCCAAATTAATCTGATTTCAAAGTCTCTACTCTGAACTGCTGCATGCTCTGTGGACCTGTCTCCACAAATGCCACACCTGTGCTTATTTGCTTATTTCCCACTGTGCTTTCTTTACATTGCCATCTCCAGTGCATTGCTACCTCTTCTCCATGTGCCCTACAGGATCCAGCTCACTCTCACCTCTAAAATAGTCTGCACACACTGATTAGCTCAGCCCGCAATGACCTTTTCTTTTTGTATTAAATATTTAGTTACCAGTAAAAGACAATCAAATTGAACTAGTTTATGCAAGATGGAGAATTTCTTAGTTTACAAGAGCAAATAGCAAAAAAAAAAGGGGGGGGGGCAGTAGATCCACTTTTGGAAACAAAAGAAACCAGAGACCAGAACCTGCAAACTTTCCCTCTCATTGTCTTTCATCCTCACCTGTTTGTTTGTCAGTTCCTTCTCTCATGCTGGCCTTCCCCACCAGGCTGGAACTAAGGCCTCAGGCAGTTCTGAGTTTATATTCCTAACCTAGATCCCAGAGAATGAGTTTTTGGTTTTTGGTTTTTTACTTTACATACAACAAATGCATCCATTTAGAGCGCACATCTTAATGAGTACTGATACATTTATGCACCAATATGTAAACACCATTACAGCTTCAATATGTAATATTTCTATCACCCCATCTCAAGTTTTAAGAACCTGAAGGAAGGGCTCTGATGAAATACCTGCTCTATAAACTGATCACCAGGAGTTTGAGAACCAAAGTGGATACCCCCACTCTAACCATATTCTTGTAGTGGGGAAAGAACAAAGGAGTATATTCTGCAGCCCGCACATGGCCCCTGGAGAAGTCATGATGAGCTGGGGGCACAGGACACAATTATATCACTCTTGGTCCAATCAGGAAACCAAAATCACACGAAAATTTTAATAGGGAAATTTTAATATAAGAATATTAACAATAACAAGGGATTAGGGTAACAAGGGGTTGGCACCCAAGAGAGAGGCTCTTGGGCTGAGGTTTGGACCTTGGAGAGGGCACAACTGTGGCTCATGTGGCAGGGTGGTGTCACGCTAGTGGAACCTGCCAGAAATCCTCCCTCTGGAACTTTCCAGAAATCCATTGTGTAGGGACTCAGGAAAGTTGTTCACTAGGAGACGTCTCCCTGGAGGCATCCACTACAAAACTGCCCCAGGTGGACGGCAGGGGACTCCGCTGGCTGCTGTGCACTGAAGGAGCTGGAAACTGGAAAAACTGGGCAGCAGACAGCAGCTGAAGGAGCCAGCCAAGCTAGCATACCAGAACCAGGAAGCAAAACCCTCTCCTCCTACAATACCTAAGCTTGATATCATGCCAGCTGGCAAAGGAAAAATATTTAAAGGGCACAGGTCCATTTTCACAGATCAAGCAAAAAAAATATGTATTTGGAACTGAGAGATAATACATCCATAACCAGCCCACACCCCAATTTGTTTCTACGAATGAGCCTGTGAATTCCTATAGTATCTACAGTGTATACCACCCAATCTATCGATTACATGCCTCCCTAGTTATTTCTCGTATATTTCCGTGCATAGACACACATATATTGGTCTTCCTACCTGAGTTAGGAACTCTCGGAAGATGCTCTAAATTACTGTAGGTTTCTCTTCTCCTCATCCCTGTAGCGTTTACTATAATGCTAAGCCCATAGTAGCTCCTTAATGAAAATTATGTATCGACAGAGATTGCAGAATAACCTCAAACCTCTATAACAGAGTTGCAAAGAGGAAGCCTCTGGCCAAATCCAGCGGCTGATACATAAAAGTGGTGATTTCTCACAGAAATCAAGCATTTTGGAAAAACTAGAAGGTGGGGCACCAATGGGCCTGCACAAACTGGCTGGAACTGACCATCACCCTCTCCATTTCACCAGCACACACTTCCTTTTTCTTTTTCTTTTCCTTTTTCTTTTCCTTTTTTTTTGGCCACGGTCCTCTGGTAAC